AGGGCTGGGGAATGGGAGGGGCTCTGGCCAGGAGACTTACCTGTAAGCATGCTTCTCAGGCAGGAGCCTGCCCCGCCCCTTCACAGGCTGCAGAGCCTGAGGAAAGGGGGGAGGGGTGCTTTGCGTGTTGCCTATTTTTGAAAGAGGAAGCTCCCATTTGCCAGAAACCGGCCAATGGGATTGTGCTGGGGGTGGGAGCAGCCATGAGGCACCACTCCCCCTGCTCACAGCGAGTGGAGCGCAAAGAGCCCCGGCAGCCGCTTTTCTGAGGGCGTGCAGGGGCGGGGCAAGCAGGGAGTCTGCCTGAGGCCCCCTACTGCATCTGCGGGCCAGATCCGGTGGCTTGGCAGGCCTGACCCAGCCTGTGAAGGGTGTTTTGCCCAGGCCTACTCTAGTCTGAACTAATCCTGGTTGAAAAGTATAATGACCAGCCTCTGGGCAGAAAAAAGGAGGCACCCTGCCTGTCCCTCAGCCCCCTGTGCATGGCTCTCTTCACATCTGAATTCATCCCAGTCCCATGCAGACGCCGGGGGCTCTTGCTGCCCGTTTGTGTGCGTGGTTGACATCAGATGGGCAGAGTCATGGAAGTATGGAAACATGTGGGTGCTGTACGTTAAAGAACCAGATCTCCCTGCATCTCAAACTTCTTCCTGTCCTCGGTGTTGTCTTGCAGCTTTGAGTCTCCGCTGTGCACCATAAAGCCTAATTTCACATACCAGGTCCTTGGCAGTTTAACGGTTTCCTCATCCTCTCAGCCCAGCCGGGACCGAAGGTCGAGCAGCAGCAGCATTGTTAATATTGAGATGTGTGTTAGATGCTGTACATATGTCCAGGAAACACAGAAGATGGACAAAGGGTGGAAGAAAGGAACAATGGTCTCACTCTGACAGACGGAGAACTGAAGCCCCGAGGCACTGTCCTGCCCTGTCTTGTCACTTGCCTCGGAGCTGGGAATTGAATCCAAGTGTCTGGACCAGGGTCTTAACCACCAGCCCACCATTCCTGTGGTGATGGTGGGCGAGCCGATGCTGGCTCTTGTCTTGGCCTAGGAAGTAGCTGAGCAGAGCAGTAGTCCTCAGGCTGAAGGGTCCTATTGGAGCAGGAGCTGGGAACCAGAGCCAGAGTCAGGAGTCCAGCCATGGGTCAGTGTCAGAGTCAGATGCTAGAGCTGCGGGAGAGAAGCAGGGAAGCTGGACAAGTCAGGGACTAGGAGCAGGGCAGGGAGGCAGGATCTAATGTAGTAGCTATCCAGGGATTCACCTCATTGCAATGACAACGTCCTGTGCCTCCTTCTGGTCTATATAGAGAGTCTGAGCCAAGTCGAGGGGCTGGACCTCTCCTTCAGTGAGCAGCCTCATGGGAGGTACCTCTGATGAGCTAGGGTCTACAAGCCCATGCTAGCTACCTTGTTGGATGCAACTGTCGAGGGCCTGTCTTCTCATTTGTGTTACATTTTCTGCTGAGAGTAATTGCATTGGTGTCAGCCAATTTAAACCCCCCCGGGAGACAGCTGAAATCATTCTTCTCAGATTCAGCTTCCTCCTGGGTTCAAGAACAGCCTCTGTTAGTCACCAAGCACGTAGGAGACAGAGCTGCACTGAGAGCTGACCCATTTTGCTTCAAAAGGCCAGGGTGGATTTGGCTTTACAGATTTTATATCTGTATTCAGTAAAGAACTCCATCTGTCATGCTGACAATTATGCCCAGTTGACCCTGGGTAATTCTTCTGAAGGAGTTTAATTTTCCAAATGGTAATCATTAAGTGTCTAGAATATGTAGGCTCTGCTTGGTCAAATCTTAAATAAAAATAATAAAAAAGACCTTCTTAAGAAACCATCACAGAGATAAGCATCCTTATAAGTGGAGCATTTCATTCACACAAGAAGCACCACAAAGTAAATTCTCCTGTGTGTCAGAACCCTGAAGGGTGAACAGCAAGATGCTTTTGAGAAACTGGAAAGGGAAATTCTGTGGCTTGCAAGTTGTTAAAAAGAAAATGATTTCCAACTAAGGGCCTGCTACCCAATTGAATCTTCACTGACTGCAGTGGCAACTGATACTAGTTGGGGACGTAACCTAGAGCTGCCTTGAGTTGCGAGAGAGAGATGTGAGCAGCCCTGTGCTTGGCAAGGACAGATGTTCCAAGAGTTCCCTGGGAGAAGCTTTGGGATGTGCACCAGGCATATTTCAGTGGGGACCACAGTGCAGGGGAAAACAGTCATAGCCGTTCCTCTGGTTAGCTGTATCAGCTGGCAGGGTTTGACCTTTACCAAGTGACAGTGTGGTATAATGTTATATGACCACAGCAAGGAAATGATGCACCAGGAGGGCCAACCACCAGCAGGACAAGGGAATGCCAAGACCAACAGTATGAGATCAGCTATGTGTAGCTGTCAGTGCTCCTTCATCCAGGGTTGCTTCTTTTTCATTTATAACATGTTGTGTTTCCTGCTCTCATTTGAAGCAAGAGTTTCAAAGCATATGACAAATATTAACCCTTACATTTCCTCCCTGAAGCAAGTCTGTGTTCTCATCATTTAACAGACAGGGAAACTGAGACAGAAAGGGGAAGGGTCTCGGAATCAGGAGCATCAGTGGGAACAGAACCACTTTGCATTCTGAGACCAGCACTTGGGCACTGGGCTGTTCACCATTGTACAGCCAGAGGCCCTGTTTGTAGAGGCAGGTTGTGATTTAGCTCCAAGGGCTGTTTGTTCACCTCTAGGGTAAAAGGAAAAAGTGAGTGTCTGGCCTGGAGCAGGAAGACAAGATGGTGGACGGCCGCCAGCAACCTGTTAGGGCCAAGAAAAAGAAAAAAAAACCTCAAAAAAGCATTTCTTAAAGGGGCCATACTGTTTTTATTTATTTATTTATTTATTTATTTTTGCTCAACAACTTTGGTCTCCCTCTTTTTTTTTCTCTAGATGCCATGCCATTTCCCATGGCTCCCCTTGGCTGCAAAGGATGAAACGGAGCCAATGGGAGCTGCCAGTCTCCATGGCTGCGGGGCCAGTAAATAAACAAACTGGGGCGGCCAGTTAATGTGTTTCTCAAAGTGATCACACAGAGCATTTTCAGAAACATTGCTCTAGAGGAAGCTAGTGCTGCAGTAGGTGGCTGAAAAAGCTTCAAGGAGAGTGACCTTGATTAAATTTATGGGTCGTTTCTTTCCTAGTTCTGCCAAAATCAGTAGTTAAAGCCTCTGGAGCCATTAGGACAAACCTGTGCTCTGTCCTGCCAGGGTCACTCATCTGCCCCTGTGGCACTGTGCCAGGGGCCACATTTTAGGTCTGATTCTTACATCTGACCTCCCATTTTGTACTTTCAAAAGCTGCTCGTAATTATGTGGGTTCCTTTTTTACCTGTCATGCCCTAAATGTCCAACATACTTGACAGGTTCCCTTTAATGAAGTGAACTGAACAGAATGCCAACAATAAGTCACAGGCAATAGAGATTCAGTCACGCAGAGTTCAGCACTAATTACACTGCTATGCAAATAACAGTTCCTGTTTCATAAGATGAGAGTGGATTCAGTGTCATCTGGTTTGATGGGTAATTCTAGGTTGTTCAGGCCAACTGTGTGGCATGACATTTGTCAGATGCCCATAAAGCAGAAGTGCATAAAAATATCATAAGTGAGCGAAAGCTGGATTTGAGAACCCTGATTGATACTTTTTAATGAAATACCATTCAATCCCTGGATTTAATTTTCTGTTTCCTTTTTCCAGTCTAAGGCCGCTCCAAAAATATAAATGAAGCTAAATCATTTGCTTCATTTTTATAGTCTCATTGCCCAGGGGCCCCTACAACAATTATTAGCCACAAGGCCTGCTAGTGGTCATCAGGGAAGGACAGCAGGAGGTGAGAGAGTTCCTTACTGGAAGGGATGATGATCAAGCATGTTCCAAGCATTTAAATAGCATTGTGCTCTCTGAGCCCTGTGACTTTGGCTCTTGCAGATGTTATGCAGATGTTCACTGCTACCCCCTACTCAGATGGAACATGTCATACCTGCTCCATCTGCAATTCTCTGGTTCCACTGCAGTTATATTGTTTGTATTGTAAAGGGTTGTTCCTAATTCTCCTCTATTCGACAGGTGAAGCAGATTATGGAGGAAGCTGTGACGAGGAAGTTTGTGCACGAGGACAGCAGCCACATCATATCGTTCTGCGGTAAGCCTCCAAGGACAGAGTATAGAAAAGAAATGGACTCTGAGAAATTGACAGCCCAGCTCCATCTGCATGTTGGGTTGTTGCCACATTGCAGCATAGTTCTGGCCTGAGAACTTCCCATTTGAGTTCTTCTATGGCAGCGGTTCTCAACTTTCCCTGCACCACAGCTGCCTTCTGGCAACAAAAATTACTGCAAGATCTCGGAAGGCAGAACCAAAGCCTGAGCTGCCCAAGCCAACACTCTCTCTAATTTTTTCTATCCATGTGTGGGATAAATTTTATTATGTGCATCAAGGCATGTGCAGATGTGCACCACCAGTAGAAACCCATGCTACCAACTTGTGGGCACTCTTTTAATCAGCTGGGTGGCATGGGTGTCTGCTCAAGAGCACAGCTTACAGGCAACACTAGCCCAGGCTCCATCACCCTGGGTCAGGAGGAGGGCAAAGCCCAAGGTCAGGGGACTTGTAACCTGAACCCTATGACTCAGGGATGAAGTTCTATGATTTTGGCCTTGGGCGTGTGGCCTGGGCTTTGTCCTCAGCCCCAGCAAGTCTAACACCAGCCCTGGCAACCCCATTAAAACTGAATTACAAACCCTTTTTTTGATATCCCGATGTATTGTTCTTATGGTACCTTGTGCAAAGACCAATGAGTATCAGGGCCAAGAAATTAATCCTTTTGTCAACAAAATTAACCCCCAGGATGGTGAAAACGATTTAGGAAAGGAGAGGACAGAGATGTCATCTGCTTGTCTCATTTTAGAAAACAAATAAGACCAATGGATGTGGGGAGAGCTTAGTGTCTTTTATTTGTGTATAAATGGATTGAACAAAGGCCTTGTTATGTGAGGTTTGAATATTTTATTGTTGTGGTCAATGTATGCAAATGAGAGCCAGAGCTTTGGGAGACAGCCTGCTTCCTATTTATAAATGGTACATGTGGGGGTGGGAGCAGAGGTACAGGGAGCATGTCTAGTGAAGATTTTAAATCCTTTTAAAATTGTATTATGAGACCATATGGGAGATCTGCCTCCAGCCTCCTTTGCTGGTTCAATTTTTGGCATCTGGTCTTTGACAAGGTTCTTTACTCAGTTTATTAATACCTGGCTTTTGCCAGGTGTAGTGATAATTTTAACTTTTGGAAAACGTGTGCTAGCATGAGCCAGTTAAAAGAACAGTCAGGCAAAGCATGAAATGGCTCCCTAAAGGTTTTGCTTGGCTTGGCTGTGAGATGTGAACCCAGAGGTGAGTTTGCAGCAAGAATTGTAGAACAGAAATCTGGGGGGATTTTAGGAGCGTCCTTACCCATAGGTGTTTTTTTCCTTTGAACATTCCAGTACAATAGCGGAAGCAAGCTGCTTCGTTTTTCATTTTCCCATTGGACAATCCATCATCCAATTCAAGAGATTGCAGGTCTGTTTTCTGTTAGCCTGGTGCAAAGACAACCAGGCAAAGTGCAGCTTGGGAGACAAAATAATCAGGCCGGAGATGGTCAAGCTGCAGATCTCCATGGTTGTGTGTCCAACAAACAGAACTAATAGCCTCTTGCAGCAAACTAGCCAGTGGCTGATGGAGCAGCCTTCTCTGCTTCTTTGTTAGTGCTGCAGGGCTGGAGAGGTTTCTTGGAGATTGTCTCAAAGCAAATAACGCTGCTACTAGGTCAGTTCATTTGCCAAAATGTCTCTCTTTTTTTTTTTTTTTCGCTGCGGCTAATCAGAAATGAGATTCTGGGATTAAGAGGCAAAATGAGGTGCTTTTCTATTGGTGCCTCCCAGTATTTCTCCCTGTGTAATGGCTCTTTCTTCTATGACTGGATACCAAAGCAGATAGCAAATGTGAAAAATCAGGACAGGGGGAGGGAAGTTATAGGGTCCTGTTCAGGTCAAAGCCTTGAATATTGGGATTGTCCCGATAAAATCAGGACATCGAGTCACCGTGTGACTTGAGCCTTTCTCTGCTGAGAATTCAGGAGTAGCATGAATGGTCTAGGCTACAGGGACCAAAGGGTAATTCTGCCAGTGTCGACTGTCAAAGATGATGCATTTGGCATGGAGGGGGCTAATGTGCTTCACCTCCAGACACACTTCCCCCTCCCCTCCATGTCAGGGTGTGACATTGCTGGGACTCTTCCTCTCTGACAGCCTTGTCCTAGTTTTGCAATGGCCACATGCTTCTGTGGCCTAACACTCTGGCCAGACCGGCTCTCTGTGTGGCTGGATCCCCACTCCGAGAGAACTGTAATCTAAGTAAATCTGAACTCAGATTAGCCACTTGGATATTAAAGTCCCTAAAAGAACTCTAGTCCCCCAGAACTGCCTGTGTAGAAGCAGCCAGTCTTTATCTGCACTGCTGGACTGTGATTGGCCTTTGCCTACTCCCAGCCCTTCTAGGTGTTGGAGAACCAACTCGCTAGTTCTGCCTACAGCTGTTAATGGGAGGCCTCTTTAGACAAGCCTTGGAGGTCTGAACTTGCACACTTCCCCTCCAGCTGAGCAGCTCCTTAGGTTGTGGTGTGCCAAGGCAGTGGAGTTTCTAGCAGGGGCAGTGAATGCATCGTTCCCAAGATAGATGGTTGACTCCTTTTAGAGAAGCTGTTTGACAGAAATGCAACTCAGCCAGTGGCACAGCAGAAGCAGAAGCGGCATGTGGGAGTCCTGTGGGTGAAGTCAGCCTTTGAAGCTCCACTCTCTGAGTTAATAGAAGACAGGAACATGCTGGGAGGGAATTCTGTTAAGGGTGTCTGGGAGGCAGGTTCTGGAGCTTCTTGGATTGTCCAGACCACTGTGTGGTGCTGATAGCAGCTGCGGCAGGGACCCAGAAATCTGGTGGAAGGGGCCCTCTTGGGAGAATCTCCTAGACACATGGAGATGAATTCAGCCCAAGTGTAAGTGGCTGCAACTCAGCAGAAGCCAGCTGAGTCCCACCTTGTTAAGTGGGCAGAATCTGAACTGGGCAAACCCTTCAAACAAACCCACAAAGTTCTGTCCCCCAGAAGCTTTATCATATTTTGGGATGAAAGCCCGCTACTGCTTCTTCACCTCAGCTTTGGGCCAAGTGCTCATTGATGTCGCAGTAGAGGTGTGTCTGGAGGCGAGGCTGTTGGCACTGGATAATGTAAGAGCAAGAGGTACAAGTGTTCTCCTCTGAGCTGAGAACTGAAGTGCACAGCAGCAACTTCCTTCCTGCAAGTGGTTTGTATAAAGCTGAGGCTTGAATTATGAGAGCTGAATCTGTCAGGGGTCCTGTCAGCCACCTCCACTCAGCCTGGCTCCCAGAGCTCCCAGAGCTCAGCCCTTGCCCTTTCTGTTCCTTTCAGTGTTGGTGCATAGTCCTCTGGACTTGGATTACTTTGCAGGGCTCCTAATCTCTTATCCAATTACCAGCTTTTCTGATGGCATATGAGATGGGATTTTACTTTCTCTGTCCATCTGTTGGGAATGTGGGGCTGCCTCGTTAGAGATGTTTCTTTATTTAAAAGCAGAATTATTGCAGTTCTGGAAACTGCCCCACCTGTCCTCCTCCTCCCTCTCGCATGAGCACCTCTTTGTCCTGGTATTGCAGTTGCCTCCTACTGCAGCCAGGAGGCCCCAGTGCCATATGACAACACCAGCGTGAACAACCCTCTGCAGGGCAGATCTGGGGGCCAAAACCCACTGTACAAAGTAGGCATTGCCTGTCTGGCTTTGCATGGTTGGGAAACATGGAAGTATCTCATCCCTGCGGGCAGTGTTCCCTCTCAGATTTCCCCACCATGAATGTAGTGAGTTTTGGGCCTGTGCACAAGCATTGAGGTCATGTGCACTGGTTTGGATGTGTGCCACCGTGGCACCCAAGTTATTAACACACACACATTCCCAGCTGATGGAGCGGAAACCCTTCTCTCCACCATCTGGCATGACCCGTTCTGAGCTGCCAGAGCAGACCCCACCTCCCCGGCCATGTGGCATGTCCCATTCTGAACCACTGGAGCAGACACCCATCCCCCCACTATGTGGCAGATCCCGTTTCTGGCCCCAGGCATCAGAACTGGCTCCAGCCCCCCTGCCACGTGTTAGCCCCGGCCACTGGAGCAGGTCTCCCTGCCACTCAGCCACGGCAGTCACGACTCCCTGTCCCAGCAGCTGCCTCACCATGCCAGAGCAGCCAGCCCCGCCTACTGGAGCAGCCGCCTGCTGCACGAGAGTGGCTGTGCGGCTCTCCGGGGGAGGTGGTAGGGGGGAATAATTTTTTGTGGGCGGCTGCGCAGGTGCGCACCTTAACAGGAACTGTTCCTAAGAGGATGAGGAGATTCCCCAAGTGTACACTGGGCATTCTGGGCAGAAGCAGATGGTTCTCTCTTGCTTCCAACTCCAGGGAGAAGTGGGGTTTTCCGTGCTGACAACAGACGTGACTCTGGGAATCTGATTGCCTTCTCCCTGCTGCTCCATCCCTTCCCATGTGGCACATGTCTCTTGGAAAGAAAGTCACTAAAAAGGCATTTGAACCCAGCCTGAGGAAACAGCATTTTCAGCCTGTTGATGTTGCTCCTCTCCTTCATGGCTGCAGGACTCCCAGGGCAGTTTCCATGGCAACACATGCTGGGGAAAGCAGGCTCCCTGCTC